GGTTTCTTGCTCAAGAGCTATGGCTAAAATGGCCATCAGAGCTTTCTTGTGTAAGAGTGCATCCACACTGCCATCGACACTCTTGTGCAAAAGCACATCTCTTGCACAAAAGCACATGGCAGCGTGGACGTGACATTGCGCAAGACCATTTGCACAAGAACTCTTGCGCAAAACAGTTCTTGCGCAAGAAGCCTGCATTGTAGACGTAGCCCTAATGTTTTAGAATGAGTTTACTCGCAGTCTTGTACTTCTTGCTTTGGGCTGAAAGTAACGCTAGATGTGTAATAATGATTCCAGAGAAAGTTGTTCTTGTGGCGGTGATAAGACCTGGTAGAACCAGAAAACAGTAAGGGTGTGTCTAGACTACAGGGTTTTTTTTTAAAAAGTGGCCTTTTTTGAAAAAACTTCCCCTGCGTCTAGTCTGCATCTGTGTTCTTTCAAAAGTAAATCGAAAGAATGCGGCTGTTTTTTGATAGCAGTAAACCTAATTTTACAAGGAATAACGCTTTTTTTCGAAAGTACTCTTTTGAAAAAAGGCGCTATTGAATGCAAACTGTGCTTTTTTGAAAGAGAGCGTCTAGACTCTTACAAAGAAGTGGCTCGCTTTTTCGAAAAATCTGTTTGTAGTCTAGACGATCTGTTTCGAAAGAGGCTTTTTCGAAAGATTCTTTCGAAAGAGACTAGTAGTCTAGACGTAGCCTTAGAATTGTCTGGGGGGCAGATATTTTAGGTGGCTTTGGACAAGATTCTGAACTGAACTTTTTGCGGGGTAGGAGTCTTTCTGCTGACATCAGTGAATCAGACTCCTGGTGCAAACATTTGTTTCTCATGATGTTCGCCCATCACTGCTTAAAATGTATATTTAATTTAATTTTCACTTTCCAGGTGATAACTACCTAGAAGGAGACCTGTTTGTGCACTGCTATAGGTCAGAAATGCTTTGCTTCCTCCACCTCTTTATATCCCAAAAGCTATGGATTTTCCCTATAGCTGACTCATAAGGGCCCTTGCAATTATTAAACTCTTTTGTTTTGCTGTTACTGAAAGAGGAGAAAACATCAATCAGGAATTTTTCCCCTGGTAATTAATCAGTGAGCACCTTCCCTTCTCTACTCCCTTTATTCGCTTTACTTTATGTCTGCCCTATTTCTTCCTAATGGTACCAGGCAGCTGTACTGCGTGGACTTCACTGCTTTAGTAATAGAACTCTATGCTTGGATTAATCACAGCTTTACAAATTAGAACAATCCACACTGCACACGTTTGAAATATGAAAGAGAAGGGTCCTAATTTTTTATAATGTGGCTTTGCACGCATTATACAGCGTGCATAATGTCCTTTAAATTAAGAAATTAGTTACATTTCCCTGATAGCTCACTTTCTTATTGAGTCACATTTGGCATAAGTCTACCCGGCTATTTCTGATTATTCATATAATATCATCTTACATATGAGGATGGCCCATTTTCACTAATTTCTCAACCTTGTTTTTCTTTCTTTAATGGCATATGCCCAGCGACTGACATAAAAGAAAAAGAAAGTGGTGGTGGGGAACAAATAGAACTCTGCTGTACAACTGAAACGGGTAATTAAGCTCTGCTAAGCACATCACTGCAGCCCAGCTGGCACAATTAAAGAAATAGCTGATCAGTTCCAGTTATTGATTCTGCTAACATGTTTGTTCACGGTTGCTTCTTGTCTAATTAGTTTTTCTGCTTTCTTAGTCCGAAAGTATACCTTTTCAGTCAAATTTGTTTTCAGCCATCAGATTGTGCTTTAGTTAGGCTGCTAGCTTGTCATTTATTTGAATACAACAGTATTATCCTCCCATGTTTTTTAACCCAACATGGGACTGATATCTCTGGGCCTTTTTTGAATTTTCTGTAGATATTTGATTTACTTCTAAATTTATGCTAAGTTCTTTATGTTGTTGAAATTTATCAGTCTGAAAGGGCCAGAATCAATGGCTGTTTTACAGACACTGGCACCTCTTAAATGAGGGTGCACTTGCTGACTAGATAAGAATGAGTCTTTACTGAACCTGTGTTGTGATCTGTCCAGGGGGAATGCTGTGTAGAGTGTGTTGGTCATTTTCTAACAAAACATGTTTTCACTGATTCATCGAAACAAACTTTTTGCAAATTGGTTTTGATTAACCTCTTGTCAGGATTAATGTTTCTCCAGATATAGGATGGACTTTTTGGTCAGAGACAGACCCCCAGAATAGCCTGGTTCAAAGTTAGTGCCAGATTGAGAATGGGGTCTTGCACTTGGATCTCCCACATCCTAAATACCAATCTATTGGCTATCCTGGAGAAGGTCTCTCTTGTCCCCTCCCCCACCTCATTTTCTTTACAATGGGGAATGAAACAGATGTTGAAACTTCCAAAATTTTACCCAAGCAGAATTCTTATTTTCTGACCAGCCCCGCAGCTCTGCCTGTTGAGAGCCCCCGTTGGTTCTAGTAGCCAGCCCCGCAGCTCTGCCTGTTGAGAGCCCCCATTGGTTCTAGTGTTGCTGTGTGCTGTTAAATGGCCATCACATTTCATCCCAGAGATGAATGCATTTCAGAGGTGGGTAGGTAACGTTTGTATAAGGAGACATAGAACAACAAGGAGATCATTGCATACGGTTATTTATAAACAACAATCCAGAAACAATATAGTAAAGTATCCAATCCATGACCAAAATTCACAATGTGTTACATAGTGGTGATGCTGAATGGCAGTGAAATAGTGTCTTACAATGTATGTATCTATATTCATGAATGATCAAAATAAACATGGAAAAGTTAAATAAATTCTAGTGAAGTCACGCTAATTTGAACGGAGAGGGCGCTCCTGTTGGCATTAGTAGTCCTGCCCTCATGAGGTGTAAGGGAATTCGATGGCAGCCTGTGCTTCTGTCAACCTCCTGCTGTGAAGAAGGTGCCAAAAATTGATTTAAGATACTTCAACTCCAGCTACATTAATTACGTAGCTTGAATTACGTATCTTAAATCAAATTTCCCCTATAGTGTAGATCAGGCCTCACGGAGTTATGCATGAAGTACATTGAAAAATAAAAGGCCTATCTGTTCCATCACTTAAAACACTAGGAAGAATTATGTTTTTTAGTAAAGAGAATTGTCCATGCACCAAAGTGTCTTGAGAAGTGCATTGCATGGACTGATAGAATAAAAATATGTTTTTATATGTTTGTTAAAATAATACTGTGCGTAGGAATCCTTTGTAGTAAAACCTGCTATATAAATACACGATGCTATTAACTATATGCAGTAAAGTAAGTGGATACACATCATGAGTATTACAATACTATCTATCTCCATTAATATCCCTTTTGGTTCTTGATTTCCCCTCTTCTACTGTGTAGAAAAAATAACCAGAAGTAAAGTATTAGCTGACGAAAACGATTCTCTGTGGTGCAATCATCCAAAGTCCCTGCCACTGCAGCACCATGAAGACAAGTAGCACCTCTTAGTGCCACTCTTTTTGAAAGTGAGAAAACCTATGATAGTTCCAAGCACCCTCACTTGTTCACTGTCCTTACCACTTGCTTTTCTACCCCTAAAGAGCTATGGGGAAAAAACCACGAGTGCATGTTTCTTAAGTATATCTACAGAAGTTAGAATGAAAGATCTTGCAGTAGGTGTGCTGGGCAGAGGTAGTGAGCATTTGACTCTGACCCATTCCCTTCTGCCCAAAAAGGTGTTAGGATCCATTAGCAGAAAGGGTAGATCCTATCCTATCCTATCCTATCCTATCCTATCCTATCCTATCCTATCCTATCCTAATAAAACAAAAAATATCATAATGCCAATCCATGGTGCACCCAGAACTTGAATGTTGTGTATAGTTCTGGTCATTTCATCTCATAAAAAAAAAATAACAGAGTTGTAAAGAGTACACAAAAGAAAAGGGCAACAAAATTATTAGGGATATGAAACAATTTCCACACAAAGATTAAAAAGACTATAACTGTTCAGCTCAGAAAAGAGATGACTGGTGGGTGGGGTCTAATAAAGGTCTATAATATTATGAATGGTGTGGAGAAAGTGAATAGGGAAGTGTTACTCATCCCTTCACATAGTACAAGAACGATTAGGCAGGAGGTTTAAAACAAACTCAAGGAGGTAAACACATTGTGCAGTCAATCCATGAAACTTGTGGCCAGAGGATGTTGTGAAGGCCACAATTATAACTGGGTTAAAAAATGAATTAGGTAAGTTCATTCAAGATAGGGCCATCAGTAAGCCAAATCGTTCAGGGGTGCATCCCCATGCTCTGGCTGTCCCTAAGCTCCAGTGGAAGATGGAACTGGATGACAGGGGATGGGTCACCCAAAATTGCATTGTTCTATTCATTCCCCCTGAAGCACTTGGTACTGACCACAGTCAGAAGATACTGGGCTAGATGGATCATAGGTCTGAATCTCCATGGCCATTCTCATGTTCTCGAGCAAAAAACCTTCAAAAACAGGTTGCAATGCTGAAACTGCTGGGCTGGAATTCATCTTCAAATTTGACACCATCAGAATGTGACTGCATATAAGGGACTGGAAATGGTCCTCTAATTACAATGAGTCATTTGCCACTTCAGGTATTCTCACTTCCTTATCCACATTCACTGTGATTTAATTAGATCTGCCATTAACACTCCCTTTTCTGTATTCCTACTATCTGTTTCTTTTTTCTTTCTCTTCATGCATCTCATAAATTCAGTTGCAAATCATGAAAGTGTATGCCATAATAAAATTCTTAGTCTTTAAGATGCCACTGGATTCGTTGTTGTTTTTGCTGAAACAGACTAACACGGCCGCCTCTGAAATTGGTGAAGTATCTGTTAGTGATTCCAAGTCAGAGGGCACAGATAGGAACTGGCTGTGGTTCAAGGTTAGAGCATGGTGTGAAAGAAGATTAGTGCATATGCACCTTTTGAAAGTGGATTAGTGGATTTCTTTCAGTGTGTAGAAATTGTGCATTCCCTATGTCCTACCCTTTTGAAAGTGGATTAGTGGATTTCTCCCAGTGTGTAGAAATTGTGCATTCCCCATGTCCTATGCCTCCCATCGTCCCCCATCTGGATTCTGCTAGCTAGATGGCAAATATGATCTTAAAGTACAATGTATTTACAGATCCTTAGTCTTTAAAGTGCTACATAGTCCTGTATTTTGTTTACAGATCCAGTGATCCAACTAAAGAATGTATGGGTAAAACCAAGAGCATAAATTATCTCTAACTTGTACATAAGAATTAAAAATCATGTATATTGTCTTCTCTCTGCATTGACCATCTCGTGTGTATTCCTTTTTTCTTTTCATCATGTAGCAGTGGTGCTGAACACGGATGAGAGCATGCCCCAAGCATATGCACCAGAATAGTATTATATTAATTATAAGTATAATTATAATTAATTATAATTAATGTGGATGTTGAATGCAAAGCCTGTTTTTTTCAGGTAAATGATGAGCTAGTTTGTTGGGAGAAATGGTCTCAAGCTTAAGTCACTGGCCTGTTACACAGAAGACCTGAGTTTAGTCCTTGGCTTTGCCATACACTGCCAGTGTTCCCTTCAGGAAGTATCTTAAGCCAAGTCTACACTAGCAGTTAGGGTAGCATATCTTTTCACGCCCCAGAGCAATACGTTTTGCTGGCATAAGGGCTTGTGTGCACAGCTCTATGTTGGTCTGAGTGCCAGCACAACTACCACCGCTCATTGAGCTGGTTTTATGTCAATGGGAGAACTCTCTTCAGTTGGCATAATGTGGCTACACAATCACTTTCACAGTGGGAGAGATGAATGGGTACAGCTATGCCTCTGTGTGCTTATAAGTGTAGACAAAGCCTTTATCCCACTGCGCCTTAGTTCCCCACCTATGAAGTGGTGATAAGCGTGCTTCCCCACACCTGAGGGGAGTTGAAAGGATAAGTGAATTAAAGTAGTGGTCACCAACCAGTAGATCGGGATCTACCAGTAAATCCTGGAGTGTCTGACAGGTGATCCTGACTAGTTTGGCTAGGAGGCTGTCAAGAGCTAGCACTTCAGCTGCCCCTACCCCCACTGCCCTGCTGTTCCTGCCCAGAGCCTCAGAGCTGCAGCTGGGAGCCTCCTGGTTGTTGTGCAGAGTGGGGGAGACAGAGGTAGGGGGGTGCTGATATCATTCTGTTCCTCTCCCCTGCACCCCATCTTCACAAAGTGAGGAGGGTGGGGCCTTGGCAAAGGGGTGGTGCACAGACAGGACTTGGGAAAAGGAGTGAGGCAAGGGTATCTGGGTTTGAGGTAGATCATGGACTGACTTAAATTCAAAAAGTGATCTTGTGCTTAAAAAGGTTGGAGACCACTGCATTAAAGGGTGGGAGGGGCTCAGGTATTGCAATGATGATGGCTGTCATAATGCCTAGTTTGACAGAAATTACTGGGACCCCGACCTATCTTTTATTGAGAACTCACTTTATTGTGGTGCAACTTTCTCATTTTCTTACCGTAAAAAGGGTGTAAACTGGCAGAGTACTGCACTTCTATAAAGCGGTTTGCATTTGTCCTTAAAACACTAAAGTCACACCACTCCCTATTCAAAACCTGTAGACTCTATTATCATGCAACTAAACCAGAAAGAGACAATTATAGTGGGCAAAATGTATCTTCCCTGCTCATTTCCTGGAAACAAAAGCTTCAAGTCATGGTGGGGAGAAAACCGCCAAATGGTGCTAATAAGGAAGAAGAAATGGCACATGGCACCAAATCATCTAGTTTATCAAAGTGGGAGGGAATAAAGCTCCAGAATATGGCAACAGATGCTTGTGTGAAATGGAGAGAGCGTCTTTGTGGTCCCACAAAACAGTGTACCAATCAAGCTTTCTTCGGTTGTTAGAGCTGGGTTCAATAGCAATGACAGCTGTCAAGGAGCTTGGGGAGTCTCTGCAAAGCCTTCAGCATTTTATTCACTCCTGCAAAGACACAGAATAAATGTTTGTGCTTTGAATATGGTTATTGCCATCCAATCTTGGAAAGCAATGGGTAATTGTTATTTACCTGCAAATTAAAAATGAGAAGGAGCCTTTGACTGTTGCAATGTGGCTCCCCTTGCTGTAAGTAGAAAGGACAGGTCCACTTGCATTTTAATTTGGAATGGTTAATTGGTGATTTGCATAGCCGCTACTCCCATACAGCTCTCAAACCACAGATGATGAACTGTTTCCCCCTCCCAAAAGATCAACTGACAGATTTTAATATTCCATTAACTTTCCGGATTTACTATAACATTGCATCTTGAGACATTGGCACCCTTTGATTCAAACTGCAAGAAATTAATTTTCACTTTTATTATACTACCAATAACTTTCTTAAAAATAAAACTTTTAGAACTATTGATGACATGAGTATAATACTGTGAAAATGACATGAGTTATGAATTTTATTTCCTCAGGAGAAGGAAGAGAGGGGGTAATTATAGCTTTCGCACCATTGTGTTCAACCTGGAATTAAAATGCTTTTCTAAGACATGAAACTCTCATAAGCGAAAGAAATTATCATGATGTAATTCTTTGCTGTTGAAAGGTATTAACATTTGTTAACCCCTTTCTTTGCAGCTGGAATGTTTTGAATGACTATTCCTGAGAAGAGCTCTGAGAGGCTGGATTTATATATGGTTTGCCCTCTCAAAGACCAAATCTTTTTGTGGAATCTAAAATTAACAGAAATCTTTCTGGGGAAAAAGTGGCTTGATAGGCACTTTAATTTTTGTATCTCATTTTAGCTAATTCAGTTTTGTGGTGATTTGATATTACGATAAAAACTTGACGTGACAGAGTTATTTACAGTGTTGTTGTAGCCTTGTTGGTCCAAGGATGTGAGAGAGATCAGGCAATATTCTTTACTAGGCCAACTTCCATTGGGGAAAGAAGACAAAAAGACTTCACAGAGATCTTTTTCAGGGCCCATAATATCAGTAAAATGACATAAAGAATTATGAATTGTATTTCTGCAGGAGTAGAAAGAGGGATAATTAGTTGTATAGAAAATTGTCCAGTCTATGAAGGCATGTTTTTACCTATGTTTTTTCTTGTGAAAATTAAGGTATAATTTGTTTGTGCATGTTCTTGCTCTTCTGCTCCCTAGTGCACAGACAGCTAAAAAAGAGACCATGTTAAATAAAGGTAAACTCAAACTACAGATGTTCTTCAAAACAACTTTAAAGTATTTGAGTAACAAATTCCTGTAAATGCTATAAAGTCTGGAAAGTTAGTTATGTTTCTCAGCCATGACACATAATCTGCTGCCAATATTCTCAGCCACTACCATTATCTAGGGGCAAGAGACCATTCACAACACTTTTCAGCTCTAAGGATTACATCATGACCATTTCTTCTTCACTTCATTGAATTGCCACATATGCCTACTTTTAACTTCTCCTCAGAAGACAAAACATTTCCAGTTCCTGCCTCTAAATCATTTGTATGGAGAAGGGAAGGGTTCAATAGGCATGACAGTTCTAATACAGAAATAAAATTCTTCATGTCTGAGATCAGGAAATGCTATGGCATATTTTGTTGCATGTTTATATCATCCGCATAACTCTCCTGACCAGTATTGGATACTGATGCTACATAATAACAGGCTGTCAAGGCAGATTAATGAAGAGCCTGTAATTGTAGTCCCCATACTAGAAAAGATCTATAAATCTGGCAGCATATACCTGGTTACTACTGATCGTCCACCCACGTGCTTCCATTATAGCATGTAGGACTCAGGCTTAGAGGAGAATGGAGCAAGACATGTACTGGGTATATTTCAGCCCCTCCAATTAGCATTTAGATACTATACAGATAGTCAACTCACATCAGCTGACTTGGCAACTGACTGAAAGGAAAGACAGAAGGCAGGCAGCAGATGGCGCTGGTGTACTGCCTGGGGCATGGAGAGACTGCCAGTCTGTACAGTTCGGATGAGGGTCTTCCAGGAATATTGAGTTCAGGGCTAGGTATCTCTATACCAGATGAATTCAAGGCAGTTCAGAGAAGTGCAATAAAATATATCAGGGATTGGAAATGTTTTGTCTTCTGAGGAGAAGTTAAAAGTAGGCATACGTCACAATTCAATGGAGCAGGATAAAAGCTACAAGTAATAGCAGGATACCAATATGAAAGCAGGAGAGAACATAAGAGGGAAAGAACTAGGGTAAATGGGATGAAGAGCAAAAATTAAGGCTTAGAACCAGGCAACGCTTTTTGACTATAAGATCAGGGAATAGTCTCCCCAGAAAAATGGTAGGAGCCATGCTCTTTGGACCATTGAAAACCAGACAAGTAAAACATACTGTTGGGCAGGGTTCAGCAAGATCTGGCACACGTGCCATAAATGGCAACAAGATGATTTTTAGTGGCACACACAATGAACGGGCTCCTCGTCACCCTCCCTTGTAACGGGGAGTCTATGCTGGCAATCCAGCATCGCACCCCCCGCAAAATTGGAGCCAACACCAGCTTTCCTACGGGCGGTGGGAGCGAGGGGGAGCCCATTGATTGCACATGCCCCACAGACGTGAGACTGAACTCAGGGGTCAGAGGAGGGAAGACTATAGGCATATTTGTGTACCGTCACCGGGTGCATAAACCAGCATTACATGTGCATCATCTCCGCTTATGGAAGTGGAAAAGACATACATCAGCTGAGCCGCCCCTCATAGCAATTTGGCCCAGTCCCTTTCTCCTCCTGGGGCAACAACTTCATTGTGTGTTCCTGGCTCCACGACAGCCAATCACAGGACAGGAGCCAATCACAGCCAGCGGGGGAGGGGGAAGAAGGCATGCACATGCGTATGCAGGGAAGGCCAAAGTCTTCCCAGCTGGCCTGGGAAGCCCTGAGAATCCAGCTTGTGGAGAAGCTCACAGGCTGCTCCTCCCCTCTCCACAGGAAAATCCAGAGCGGAGGCCAGGGCAGGAGACCAAGCGTCAGGATGCGCGGTGGAGAGAACCCCTCCCCCCACCCCAGGAGAGTGGCGCAGCCCAGGGCAGGAGGGTTAAATCTTGGCATGTCACTTCTGAAAGATCGCCAATCCCTGCTGTAGGAAATAATTCTGCATGGGCAGGGGATTAGACTAGTTGAATTTACCAGTTCTATGCATCACACCTCATGGAAGTCAAACACAGTTGGAAGAGCTTGTAATCTTGTAAGCCCCACAACTCCTGTCAATGATAACCAAGAAGTAATCACAACCAGGACCACATTTCAGGTTTCACATAACTCATCTAGTTTCTAGTGATTACAGTCTCCATTTTCAGCGGGCGCAAAGTATTAGAATAAAGCTGAAACTAAAGTATGTTTTTTGTTTTAGAAGGTATCAGTTTAAATCACACCGAAACCATTCAGCTATAAAGTATGTCTGCAATAAGAATGAGTGCACTGGAAATGCATTAGATAGGTACATCGAGATATGAAAGACTATAGAAGTATGTCTATGATGTAGCATCATATGCAGAGCAACATGTAATTTTAAATAATCTGCTAGAAGTGAAAAGTCAGTACTGAAGGGGTTGGCATGGTTTGTGACATAAATAAGTTTATCTTGAATAATTAAATTTGGAACATAAACTCCGTGAACTCAAACATGGCTTTGCCAATGACCTTCAAAATCCCCCTTCCGCCCACAAGTACACACATTTCCTATAGAATGAGAAAATTCAGCCCCTGCCTAATATTTTCTTAAGTGATGATGAGGGATCAGTTTGAAAGCTAGACGAGAAACTGTCATTCATCCATAACTATGGGGTCATCACATGATTCCATAACAATGGCTATCACTGTTAAAACATTGTATGTGTGAGGGAGAAGAGGAACGGTGGACCATGCTCACCCACTGTTCTTTTTCTCATATGCTGTCTGGCTGTCCTCTGCATGCTTTTCATCAGCCCTCACAACACAGCCACTGAAAAATGCTTCACATGGTTTTAGTTTAACACAAAGAAACCTCTCCTGGATTTTAAATGAATTTCTGGCCTCTTTTCTATTGTATACGCTACTTAGCAGCCTGTGCCCTATTTCTCATAACTAAAGAAGCACCTTGTCTTTCAACTGAATCCCCTTGAAACATTGTAACAAAATTTAGGCCACATCACAGCACTGGTCCCTTGACCCATGTAAATTTGGCTTTTCTGCTTTAATTCTAAACTTTAGTAAGGCTCTCATTCAGCAAAACACTAAGTTAAAGGCTTATGCACATACTTCAGGTTAAGTCCCTTTGACTTCATATGTTAACAATAAGCATGGGCTTTGCTGAATCACTATCTAAAAGTCCACTAGAAGGGCCAGAATACAATACAGTTCTCTTCTCTAGAAAATGTAACCCCTCCCCTCCTAGTTCCAAAATGGACTTGTAGGGAGCTCTACGATATATTTTATATGAATAATCTAGTAATGCAGATATAATGCAAGAAGTCAGGGGTGCTCCACAAATCTGAAATTCTCCTTTTGCTTCACATGAAGGTTTCAGTCCCCCTGCTGCAATTCTCTCTTGTCAGGGAGCTTTGGATGCAGAAATTTCCAAAGTCATTTACATAGTTCAGAAAATATATTGCATAACAAGGCAGTCAAGCTAAATTACAGACAACTCTTTCCAATCAGGCTGCTGGAGTTCTGTGTTGATCTGCACAGCTCTTACTCCCCCCCCCCCCCCCCGCCCCAAATGTTGTCATGGAAACCAGTTTTTGTCATGCACACTAGAGGGTCCCACATGTCTCCTTTTTTCCAGTGTAATCTGCTGTCACTGCAGTAATAGCAGTAGCTGGTGGGGTTTTTTAATATACTTTTCTCAGTACCACATATCACTTTCAGCTACCTAAGTGAATGCTTGACATTACCAGCATGGTGTGCTACTATTCATTTAAACAAGAAGACAAAAAACAGATGCACCCTGCTCAAAAAAATTGCTCAGTACTTTATGCTCTGCAGGGTTGCATGGTATACGTCCACCAACATTTCACCTTTTCTCTTTTAAGAGATGTAGGATGAATGTCTTTCAAATGAAAAGGCAGCCTATTGGGGTGGGGGGAGGAAACAAGAAATAAGATCAAAGACATAAATAGAACAAAATATGCATAAAAGATCTCATCTGAGATCAAAGATCTGAGTGTAATTACCATGAATAAGAAGTGCAATGCTCACCCAGAACAGAATGTTTTGTGTGCATGGAGAATTCTACAAAAACAAAAACTGTTCTTGTGAGAAATTGAGCCTCCACTATATGAGAGACATTTATTTTGTGGCAAGTAGAAAATATCATGTTGAGTCCACCATAAATGTGGTATTACTAATAAGATGCTGGCCCAGCGCAAGACAAAAGTCATCAGAGTAGCTCAAAGAAAACATCAGAACCTTTTGTTTAACATCTGATCTGGAAAAAAAAACCAAACCTTGAGAAATGCTTAGTTCACCCACAGACACTCTTTAGGGGTCTATGCAGTATTCAAAATAAAGGGAAAGTAAAATCGATTGCACTGGTTACAGTAAAATTATGTTCTGCATATAAGAATTGTATAGATAACGAGAGGGTTCTCTTTATTTAATATATTCATTAAGGTGTTGAATATATTTGTGGTTTTTGAAAGATCATTATGTCTATCCATAGAACCAGAGGTCTTTAAAAGACTTTTTTAAATGAACTGATTAAATAAGTTGCTCAGAGAATCTTAACCACCAAAGGACACAACAGTGACAGAGGAAAATTTAGAAGTGCTGGGTCTCTCAGAAAGAGTCTGGAGAAATATTTTGGTTAGTTATAGCAGAGTATTTCTGGACACAAGTAAAGCTATTTCTGATTGGCATCTGTTACTGAGAGCAGAATCTCTGGAACAATGTTGTCTAGCTCCCAGATAAAAAAGTGAACCCTGCACCTGAATGTCTCAGACTTTGGGAATATTGGACTCTGAACCTAGCTACAGAGCTAGTTTTGCTGGCACCTACCTCTGTCAGTGATCTGAATCAAAAGCTCACAAAAAACATCCTTGGACTTTTGGGAATTTGAAGTCTGATTGAAATTTTATGTCTCAAACCATGCAGGAGTGTATGAAAAGCCTTCTGTAACTGCTTATCATGCATACACATGCATTCTAAAAATGCCACTCTTTTTGGAACTGCATTTAGCATGTCAATGAATGGCCATTCAAAAAGTGGTTTACAGTATCTTTGCAGAGACATTTGTAATTTTGCCTGTAACACACATGCAGTCCAAAAAAAGGTATCTACACTCATTTTATTCCTGTAGTTCATTAGTTTCCTGGCAGGTGTCGGGGGAGTTTAATGGAGTTAATTTTTGGAGCCAAGGAACATGAATTGTGTTAAAGCTAGGGTTGCCAGATGGTTTCAACAAAAATACCGGACACACTTGACATTACATCACAATCTACATTACATCTTAGTTAGAAAATACCGGACATTTATATTTTCTCAATTTGTTTCCTGAACAGAAAACTCAAATACTGGACTGTCTGGTTCAAAACCAGACACCTGGCAACCCTAGTTAAAGCCTCACATCTATCTAGTTATAAACTGTATAATTAATCTGTAGAGGTGCAGGGTAACATTCATGAAAATATTTTGAAAAAATATTGTCTCCTTAACCTTTTATGGAGCTGCTCAAATAACGTGAACACATGTATGGCGCAATGCTGTTTCTAGAGCAGCAATGAGTTTTCTTCTGCAGTTGCTGCAAGCAAGCAGATTTGATTGACTTCCTTGGTGATTGCATTGACTGCAAGATACTTGTATGCAGCAGCAAGAACAAGGGCCAGAGGTTTAGGGGTTTTTATGCTATGGAATTAAAGAATTCAGTGGTTCATGCAGCTATAGTGGGACCTAATTTTGATCAGGCTGGAAATACATTGGCAGAATGGTAGAGGAAAATTTGTCCTGCTATTTCCAATATAACCATTTGTTCTGTTGAGAATTCTTACTGGACTTCATAGTGCAGATCCTTCAATGAGAAATAAATTCACTTAAAAACTGACAGCTTTCTATTCTGAAGTACTTGGCAGTGTCCAAGTAAATACACACTTGAAACATTCCAAATATATGTATTTTATTGTCAAACCATATAACTCTATATCCTCTTTTTCCCTATAAAAATGGATTCCATTTGGACTATGTCAAGAATGTTTCTCATGTGTTGTTTATCCGTAGTCATTTGCATTACAGATAATGTTATAGGACCCAGTTCAAGAAACACAAGCCTAATTTTAGGAACATGAGTAGACCCAGTGAAATCGAGTGGGCTAATTCTGCTGCATCAGAAGCATACCTATGACTACCATTAACAGCATGCTTTAGGTGAGTATGAGATAATGGACATAATCCCTGATCATTATGGGACAGAGCATCATGAGAGATGCCAGCTTTGCACTCAACTGACTATGAGCCAGTTGAGAAACAGTTCAGCTCCTTCATATTAATTAGATCAGCCTGAGAATTTCTTTAATTTATGCCAGCTGCCAACAGCCTCGAGCAGATAATGGGGCAGTTTGGAATCACTGGGGCAAAAGGAACCCACAAGCTACACACATTCTTCCCAGGCTAAGTCTCCTACTTTTAGGTCAGCCCCCACCGTGGGCAGCTAGGAAGTTAGGCAGCTAGGAGCAGTTATACCAGCTGTAGATCGTCAGAATGGTCCTCCCAGTGAAGTTTAATCTGGGGTTAAGACCACTTTGCAAGGACAGAACTGGGAAAAGCAGCTAGAGCACAGACAAAGAACTCAGCAACTAAATGTACGTCTCTGGCAAAAGGGCTGTAAACAGTGATGCTGTTGAACATGTGGATAGTCTTATCCCTTTCCCCTCGAGGCCAAGGGACTACCTTTCTGTGCTAGCTCACTACAGTCATTACTATAATTCAAATGAGACAATCCCAGGAGGGCCAGATCAGCTACTACACAAAACGGGATTTATGCCTTCAGTGGAGACAGTCCTGGCCCCATAAAATGGACTTCTCATGTTAATTAGTGAAGACAAATACAATTCTGCCTCTACAGCTATCTGGGCCTGATTCCCATTTACACAAAAGCCTTTTCTCCCACTCTGGCAATGCAAAGTGGGCACAAATGTAAAGGGGCCTTAATCAAAATAAGAATCAGGCCCAGAGGTGTGTATCCCCAGGAACGTTTCAATGACTCGAGGGGCAATGCACATTTTCTGAAGAGATTGCAATCATACTAAAAATAAAATGCTGCTTGTACAAAAAGGCTTGTGTTTTTCTTCCCTCTGAAAAAGGAAATATGAAAACAGTCCAATGTGTATTTGAAAGCTGACCAAGGACAGCTTTCATTTTATTTTGACCCACTTACATGAAATGCTTCTATTGGAATTCCTCAGTTATTTCAAAGACTGCTAATCTTCACTCAGTGGACATATCTAGTCCCAGGGCCATTGATATATATCTCACATCTCCAGTCAGTCTGTTATGAAAATTAAACAAAGAAATAGATTAACAGAACTAGAAATGAATGCTTCCATGAAATTTCCTTCCAAACAGTGTCCTTTAAAACCGCTTTTAAGAAGAAAAAGAAAGGACTGTGAGCCAAGTCCTCCACTGTTTTAAATGTACCTAAAACTCGATTGCTGGGGACACATGAGAAAATAAGACACAAACAGAGAAATGGCTTTAAACTGCAAACTTTAATAATAAACAGTTGGCAGGTAAAATAGGAGGCAAAAAGAGCTTTTTCCACTTCTGCCACAACAGACTACCAGGCAACTCACTGGCTCCAGTACAAAACACATTTAGCTAAATAGCTTCAGTGAGAAAGGCAGACCTCATCCTAGCCCTACCTCCCCTCAAAAAGACATTCAACCAAGCTTTCATTCAAGCATTCTCCTCTTATGTGAGAGCTAATGATAGTGACAAGGTGGGGTCCCAGCCTGCTTGAGACTTAAGCAATCCTTTGCTTTGAAATTACCAAAGGTTAACATTAGTAATACTTTTGGGGGGAGGGGGTCTCATACTCAGGTTTACCTCAGGAGGCAACCCATATATTTGGCCCACTCACACTAGTCACACCTCATAAATTGTGGCAAATCCTATACTCCATATCCTACCTATCATCAGATCTCCCCTAGAGGTATTGTTAACACCAAGCATTCTAAAATCATGAGTCAAACCCCCTCTGAAATCCTGATATTGCTTTAAAAAAAATCAGGATTATTTTTTCTAAAAAAGTGTTTTCTTTGTATTTGCCTTCTGAGCCTTTATAATGCACTTAGGTCTTGTTTTCAAGCTTTTTTATTTATTTTTTTATTTTAATAACTGTAAGGGTTAGAAACATCTCTCTCTTTTTTTTTAAATAATGATTCTCCTGTAATCCTATAACCCTAGGAGTTGGGGCTTTAAGAAACCCCCCCCCCCCCCACACTAATTATCATGAGACATGCAATAAAATCATGAGACTTGCCAGCATTGCACCAGAAATAGTCCCTGGAGAAGGAAGTAGGAGGAAAATCCCTTCTAGTCCCAAATGATAATCTGGCCAACCATGTACCACACCCGGGGTATGTCTAGACTACAGGGTTTTTTTGAAAAAGTGGCCTTTTTTGAAAAAACTTCCCCTGCATCTAGACTGCTGCCGCGTTCTTTCAAAAGTAAATCAAAAGAATACGGCAGTTTTTTTAACCGTGGAAAATCTCATTTTACGAGGAAGAATGCCTTTTTTCGAAAGTGCTCTTTCAAAAAAAGGCACTATGTAATGCAAACTGTAATTTTTGGAAAGAGAGCGTCCAGACTGCCTGGGTGCTCTCTTTCAAAAAAGCGGCTTGCTTTTTCGAAAATACTGGTTGTAGTCTCAACGCTCTTTTTCAAAAGAGGCTTTTTTGAAAATATCTTTTGAAAAAACCTCTTTCAGAAGAGGCTTGCAGTTTAGATGTAGCCCTGGAGACCTGGTAAAACTAGTGTACTTCATATGGGTAGGCAGGAGCAGAGCACCTCACTAAAGAATTTTTTTATGTTCCTTAAAGGAGGAGAGGGCAGAGAATACAGTCAGTGAACACTGCCTCAAACCAGCAAGATGGCATAGTATAGGCCCTACCAAAGTCTCCACATAGGACAAGAAGAGACCGCTTGATCAATGACGCTAGTCTTCTGCCATCACAGGCAACAACCCTGTGATGTAATCCTGTTCATAATAGAAAAGAGGAGGGAAGATAATAAAGGGGGAAACATTAGCTCCTTTCCCACTACCTAAGACCCAAGCTTGGTTATTCAAAATAACGGGCTTCTTACTCCGACTTCTGTAAACCTCATTTCATGAGGAGTAAGGGAAGTTGGGGGAAGAGTGCTCTATTTTGAAATAACTGTTGTGTGGATAGCGCCAAAAGTCGAAATAAGCTATTTTGACATAAGCTAGGCAATTAGCATAGCTCAAGATGCGTAGCTTATTTCGAATTTAGCCCTGCTGTGTAGAGGTGCCCATAGAGCAAGGTGTGAGAGAGGCTATAAAAGTCTTGGCAAAGATGTTTATGTCATTAAGGTGGTTACATATAAAAAGATGGGTTCTCTTATCCTGCATCCCACATATTATTTTATGACTTTTTTTTCTTTGCTATTTGTATTGCTTCCATGTGTAGGAGCACCAATGATAGAGCAAGACCCCATTGTACTATCCACTGTACAAACATAGAAAAAAAGATGACCCTTGCCTCAAAGGCCTTGCAGTTTTTCTTCCTCACCTCCAAGAGACGTTTTCATTCCTTTCCTTTTGCACTGTCTTGGTCTCCAGCTCTCTCCGAAGGGCCCTTATTAATAATGTAGTTGCATCTCACTCAGTCCTCTGTGGCTTTCTTGATTAACTCAGAGAAATATTTCAAAGATACCACTGCCGATAGAAATATTTTAACAAACATTACTCATACACATCGCGTAGAACTATTCACCAAAGGAATGATGTAACATTGCCCCAAGCCACCCAGAGCCAATACACCAGAAATGTGAGTGAGAGATAGAAGGGTTGGGACATATCTGAAAGCAAATGAGACTGTGAACAGGGTAAATGGATTTAAAGGCTACAGCCATCTTAGCTGCAACTCTTCTTTCCTCTTAACTACAGCTATGTCAAAAATGTTGAGGAGGGACAAGGATTGAGCATGCATGAGCCCAGCAACTGGTGAAAGGAAGACAGACAGGCAGGCAAAAAATTGGAGATGGGGGGATATTTCCCTTTCGAATTCTTCTCTCTCTCTCTCTCTCTCTCTCTTTTTTTTTTTTTTTGAGAAAAAAAGAAGCAGACTAGATTCCCAAGTCTGTGTTGTCCCCCACTACATGTATGTTGAATCACAGATAGTTCACATCCACAGAGTGGTTGAGTTGTAAAATGAGCTGATGATTTTCATGGACACCCTACGGAACGTTTACACTGAACGCTTATTTCAAAATAAGCTATTCCAGAAGAAATACTCTGAAATAGCTTATTTTGAAATAGCACGTCTATATTGCAGGGAAGCCTCAAAATTAGTCCAAGGCAGGCTTCCTTAATGTAGACATGCTATCTTGATTTAGAGCCCCAGGAAACACTGGAGAGGAATAATTTAGAATGGCCCTGGTGAAAGGCTATTTCAAAATAGCAGCAGTGGAGAATCTACACACAATAGCTATTTCAGAATAGATGTTATTCCTTGTAAAATGCACTTTACAGATTTCAGAATAAGCCATCCCTTATTTCAAAATTATTTTGAAATAATGGAATAGCTGTGTAGACGCTCGCATTGTTATTTCAAAATAACGCTAGTTATCTTGAAATAACGGTGCATTGTAGACGCACTCTTAGGCTGTGTCTTAACTACATCCCTTTTTCAATAGAGGGATGTAGATTAGGCACGTCAATATTGCAAATGAAGCTGGGATTTAAATATCCCGTGCTTCATTTGCATAATAGCGGCTGCCGCTTTTTTTTCAAAACAGGGCTTTTTTGAAAAAGACCTGGCAGTTTAGAAGGGGCATTTTTGACAGAAATGCTCTGTTTCAAAAGATACTCATTTTTTGGAGTATAGGATCTTTCAAAACAGGGAATTTCTGTCGAAAATGCCCCATCTAAACTTCCGGGTTTTGTTTTTGTTTTTTTTTTTTTTTTTCGAAAAAGCCCCATTTCGGAAAAAAGCGGCAGCCACCATTATGTAAATGAAGCATGGGATATTTAAATCCTATAGACGTGCCTAATCTACATCTCTTTATCAAAAAAGGGATGTAGTTTAGACACAGCCTTAGAGGCACTTTGCTTTTTCCTAGTTGAGAAGGCTTATCTTATTCCCTTTGTGTTGAGTCCGCTAGGATCTTGCAGGCCCAAGATAATTTATTTTGGTGGAGGTGTGACAGACACAGCTGAGCATTTTCCCATCACTTAAAAAATGTATCTGCTCAAGGAAAAAATGTTAGGTTCATAAATTAGGCTGGCAAAATGTGTGTCACTGAGCCGATAGAATAAAGAAGTTTTAGCTCGAGGTAACCTTTAGATGGTATGAGTATGACAATGGCAGCTTGAATCCTGAAGTTGAGGTCAACTCCACATATGCACACAAATACCTTAGCATATATCATGGAGCCAACTTATTTTGTTATATATAAAGCTGCTAAACTATTTAGCATTATTGAAATAGATATATACATGACTCTCTTTTTAAAGCTGCACACACAATGGCATTGAATGCTGTGACTTTCTTTTCTGATTACCTCTTTAGGCCTTACTGAACCGTATTTGTGGCACCTAATGAAATTCCTAAGGGAGCAGAGGAACAAAGAGGTCAAAGTGCCCAAAGCCATACTTTCAGCCCTTAATTGGACACTAGCAGTTCAACCATAAGCACCCATCCAAAAGAATGGTGGAGCACTCTGTGGGCTCCAAACAATGGGGATGTGTGGGTTGATACCATCTGCAGTCTAAGGTTGGCGGAACAAAAAGATGTTTGAAGAGAGGGGAATTTCTCAGAGATATGATAGAATAGGAATGATCTGAAATAATCAATCATTACGGTGACATAAATCACAACACACAACAGCCCTCAGCCAGAAGATGTCAAACACCGCCCGCAGCGTGTCAGTCTCTCTGGCATCAGCACTTTTGTGCCTTCTGCCACTGCTCTTTTGTGGGCCATCCATTTGGTTGGGTGATGAGACCCAAGAATGTCACTGTCTCCCTTGCTCGCTAATGCAAGCTTTATGATTGCGCACTCTAATGTGCACTTGAGGCGCATTCATCTTTTGACACAGGCTCACAATCGATTTTGAGCCGGGTGCCAAATCCGCCAGATGTTGCTCCATCTCATAATTATGTTAGCGCTATTGCACCAGAGTAACTGCATCCAAACAACGCAGGGGCACAAAAGAGACTATGAAACTATCAGGTGGTCATCTGATCTAAGCTTGACACTTCTGCCTAAATCTTTTAGATCTTAAACTTAATTTTCTCTCCTTGATTATAAGCGAAATGCTCTGTGCACAAAATTAAAATAACATTAATCAGCTGGGAAAAACTAAAAGAAATGGCTTAAACACAAACAAATTTTAATGAGCTGTAGACATAGTTCAGCGATAATATTTTGTTCCTTAAACTCTTATACATTTGTAGTAAATAATAAGGTAGCCTAGAATAGTATTCCAGATTAGGCACTAAAAAGATTGCTCTGAAATTAACTCAGACCCTCTTCTGATACAAGACATAATGGAACAAGACATTCTCCTTTCATGTGCACAACTTTTACACTGGTATGACTCTATTGCCTTCAGTGGAGCTGTGCCATCTTTATCTGATGAAGAATGTGGCAGGAGTTTCAGGCCCCTATATTGAGCAAATTCTACCAAGAAAGAGTTCAGAGAAGTAAAATGACTATGGCACTCATTTAATGGGGGCATGTTCATCTGAGTTAGAAAGACATTTTATCCTCATAGATTGTCTATATAGACAGTCTGACTGACAGGACTCCCGTTCCTAGTATTAAAATAACTTTATGCAAATTGCTGCAGCTAAATTATTCTTTATCTTGTCAAACTGAGCTGTAATTTCTGTGGCTGAAGCTGAAATATAGGAAGGACATTTTAGCTCCATTTTTTCAGTCCTCGCACACCCAAAACGACCAAAGGCCTATTCTGTTCTTGTATTCACCACCTTTACGGTTTAAAATATCATTGTTAGCATTGGTGGGCTTGTCCTGAATTGCACTAGTGTAAATTAAAGCAGGATCAGACCACTGCATTCAATGAAATCACTATTATATGCTCCTGTCATTGCTCTTGGTTTCATTGCAAGTTTGGAGTGCTCAAGGACATTTTGTTGCCCAGAACATCCAGGATTTTCTCCTCTTTTCTTAGCTGTAGGTTAGAAGCAATAATGAAATTACCGAATATTCCTTTCCTTCTGATTGTGAAGTGTAATATGTCTAAAAATAGGCCCATGGAAAATTGTACCACAGTAAGAGAACAATAAAGCTAAAAGGGAAAAAATAATCCCTACACAATAGAATTTTCAAACTGTAAGTCCTTATAACATTCTCTGTTCCTGTATTTTCTATTTAAATGTGAACATAGACAGCAATGTCTGATTTAGAATAAACTTGATTTGCCCTAGTACAATTTTTATGTACTATAATCCTTGCAGAACAGTGGGCAATTATTATTTTCTAAAGTTTCAGCTAATCACTGTTTGCATAGTTGGCTTCTGAGCCGCAATAAATGTAATTTTACAAAATATAATTAGACTCCAATGGTACAAAACTTTAAGAATCTTTAACCTTTTAACAGAATTGAACATTTAAGTATGTGAAGAACTAGATTCTGATTACATCAACAATAGTAGGGAAAAAAGTAACTCCACTGAAGTCAAAGGAGTTGCATCAGTATAAAGCCAGTGTAAATCAGAATCAGGTCCTTTCTTCCTTTATCAGTCAGCTTTGGGTGTACAGAATTTTCCATTTAGTCAATCAGAAAAGTACTATGAAGGGAGCTTTCAGATATGATGGAATGAAGTTTTATTATTTAATTTATTAGAAACTGATAGGTATTTTACATGACCCTGAAATGCAGCAAGATCTGAAAGGCACATTGAAACAAAATGGGAAAAATTCATCTGTGGTATTGTGCCACTAAAGCCAAAGAAGAAAGAAGAAGAAATATAAATATTGGCCTATTTTACAAGTTGCTTTCCTCCCCCTCCCCCCCAGTTTCAGATTTTCTTTGGGGTGTGTGGGTGGTGGTGGTTATTTTCTCTAATGTGGGAGGGGAAGGGGAAGGGGAAGGGGAAGGGGAAGGGGAAGTAGCTCTTTTCTTTTGGTCAGGATTTTCAAAACTAGAAGCCTATATTTAGTAAGGCTCCTAAATCCTTATTTAATTGTGAACCTGAACATTAATTCTTTTGAAAATTTTGGCCTTTGTGCCTGGAGTAGCTTACAGAACCAATGTAAGGTACTTTGGATTTTACATTGCTACATAGCTAGGAAAAGCATTCTCTTGGACATGGACACTCCACAGGCTTGCCTAGTATTGCTAAAATAACTCATAGGCAGAATTTCAGGACTACCAGCCAGAACATCTTCATTTTGATTATTACACCATCCTGTTGCTTATCCCCTTTCTTGCAAAAGGAGATCATGAACATGGTGATCAAGAGAGCATCCTGTACACATCCCCCAATGTCTTGGAGAAAGGGCATCTGATTTAGTCTGCCGGGAAAGAATTCTGAAACCATCTCAGGGCCAGAACTGTTATATCTGCCAGACTGCAAGACCTATTTCCAAGCTCAGTTAAGAAGAATGACAGGTGGCCCATGAAGCCAAAGGTGGTTCTGGGCTCACCTAATAAAAAGGGCTAAAAGGTTTCCTCCTGGAGGTTGAG